CCACATTCTGTATTCTTATAGAACATAAATACATATAATATGTCCAACCATAACAGTGTGAAATTAGAAATTATAAGAAAAACTAGGGGGGAAAAACACATGGAGACCCAACAACATGCTAGTGAACAACCAATGGGTCAATGACGAAATCAAAGAAGAAATTAAAAAATGCATATGGAAACATACATAATGGAAACAATGACTGAAAATCTTTGTGGAGAGCCCCTAGCTTGCTCAATCAGTGGAGAGTGCCACTCTTGATCTCAGGGTCAATGAGTTCAAGCCCCACATTGGGTATGGAGCCTACTTGAAGAAATCTGGGGCGCCTGGGTAGCTCAGTCGGTTGAGTGTCCGACTTCGGCTCAGGTCATGATCTCGCACTCTGTAAGTTCCAGCCCCGCGTCAGGCTCTGCAGATAGCTCGGAGCCTGGAGCCTGCTTCCGATTCTGTGTCTCCCTCTCTCTCTGCCCCTCCCCTGCTCATGCTCGGTCTCTCTCACTCCCAAAAATGAATAAATATTAAAAAAAATTGTTAAAAAGGAAGAAATCTTTGAGGTGCGAAGTTTATAGCAGTTCTAAGTGGGAAGTTTATAGCAGTATAGGCCTACTATAGGAAACAAGAAAAATCTCAAATGAAGCATCAAACCATACCCCTAAACGAACTACAAAAAGGACAGATAGAGACTAAAGTTAGTAGAAGGAGATAGTAAAGATTAGAACCAAAATAACTGAAAAAATAAATAAATCAATGAAACCAAGAGCTAGTTCTTAGAAAAGATAAAACAGAATTAATAAACCTTTAACCAGACTCATCAACAAAGACAAGTACTCAATGAGTAAAATAAGAAATGAAGGAGAAATAGCCAACACCATAGAAATACAAAGAATTATAAAATACTATGAAAATTATATAACAAATTGGAGAAACTAGAATAGAAAAATTCATAGAAACATAGTCTTCCAAAATTGAATCAAGAAATAGAAATTTTGAACAGACCAATTATTAGTAACAAAATTGAATCTGTAATCAAAAAACTCCCAAACAAAATTCCAGGACTGGATGGCTTCACAAGTGAACTCTACCAAACATTTAAAGAAGAGTTAATACCTATTCTTCTCAAACTATTCCAAAAAGTAGAAGAGGAAGGTAAATCTCTAAATTCATTCTATGAGGCCAACTTTACCCTGATACCAAAAGCAAAGACACTACTAAGAGAACCACAGGCCAGCATCTCTGATGAACCCAGACACAAAAGTCCTCAACCCATATTAACAAACCAAATTCAATAATATGCTAAAAGGATCATTCCATGATCAAATGGGATTTATTCCTAGGATTCAAAAGTGGTTCAATATTCTCAAAACCAATGTAATAGGTCACATTAACCAAAAGGATTGAAACCATATGATCATCTCAAGAGATCCAGAAAAAGCATTTGACAAAATACAACATTTGTTTATAATAAAAACTCTCAGCACAGTGGACGTAGAGGGAACCTACCTCAACATAATAAAGACCTTGTACAACAAACCCACAGCCAACATCATACTCAGGAACAAGAAGAGGATGTCCTCTCCTACCACATTTATTCACCATAGTACCGAAAGTTCTAGATGCAGCTATGAGACAAGAAATAAAAGCATCCAAACTGGTAAGAAAGAAGTAAAACTGTCACCATTTGCAGATGATAGGATATTGTATATAGAAAACCCTGAGGACTACAAAAAAAAAGAAAAACTATTAAAGGAATTCAATAATGTTATAGGATACAAAATTAATATGCAGAAATCTGTAGCATTTCTACATGTGAATCATGAAGTAGCAAAAAGAAAAACTGAGAAAACAATCTAATTTATGATTGCACCACAAGGAACAAAATATCTAGGAATAAACTTAACCAAGGAAGTGAAAGGCCTATACTCTGAAAACTATAAGACATTGATGAAAGAGATTAAATAGGACAGAAATGGAAAGATATTCCGTGCTCATGGGTTGGAAGGATTAATGTTAAAATGTCCATATGACCCAAAGCAATCTTCAGATTTAATGCAATCACTATCAAAATACCTATGGCATTTTTCACAGAACTAAAGCAAACAGTCCTAAAATTTGTGTGAAACCACAAAAGGCCTCAAACAGCCAACGCAATCTTGAGGAAGGAGAACAAAGCTGGAGGAATCTTGGAGTGTATCCAGATTTCAAGCTGCACTACAAAGCTGTAGTAATCAGCACAGAATGGTACTTGCACATAAACAGACACATAGGTCAACGGATCAGAACAGAGAGCCCAGAAACAAACCCACACATATATGGTCCATTTCTCTATGACAAAAGAGTCAAAATGTACAATGAGAAAAAGACAGTCTCTTCAACAAATGGTACTGGGAAAACTGGACCGCTATGTGCCAAAGAATGAAACCAGGCCACTTTCTTACACCATACACAAAAATAAACTCCGAAAAGATTAAAGACCTAAATACGAGAGCTGAAACCATAAAAATCCTAGAAGAAAACATAGGTAGTAATCTCTTGGGCATTGGCCTTAGCAACATATTCATGGATAACTCTCCTTGGGCAAAGGAAGCAAAAGCAAACAGAAACCATTGAAACTACACCAAAACAAAAAAAGATTTTGCACACACACAAAGACAAGAAACACACAAAAGAACTCAATAAAACAACAAAGTTACTTACTGAATGGAAGAAGATATTTTCAAATGATGCATCCCATAAAAGGTTAATATCTAAACAACATAAAGAACTTACACAACTCAACACCAAAACAAAACAAAACACCAAACAATCCCATTAAAAAATAGGCAGAGGACTTGAAAAGACATTTTTCAAAAGAAGACCTACAGATGACCAATACACAGATGAAAAAATGTTCAACGTTACTAATCACAGGGAAATGCAAATGAAAGCCTCACACCTGTCAGAACAGCTAGAGTCAAAAAGGCAAGAAAACAGCAAGTGTTGACAAGGATGTGGAGAAAAAGGAACCCTTGTGCACTGTGGGTGGGAATGTAAATTGGTGCGGCCACTGTGGAGAACAGTATGGGGTTTCCTCAAAAAATTAAAAATAGTATTGCTATATGACCCAGTAATTCTGCTACTGGGTATTTACCACCCCCGCCCCCCCGCAAATGAAAACAGTGATTCAAAACGATGTATGCAACCCTATGTTTACTGCAGCATTATTTACAAGAGTCAAACTATAAAAGCAACCCAAGTGTCTATAGATGTGTGAATGGATAAAGGAGAGGTGATTACACACACACACACACACACACACACGAATATTACTCAGACAAAAAGAAAGAATAAAATCTTGAAATTTGGGATAACATGGGTAGACTCCACGGTATTGTGCTAAATGAAATAAGTCAGGGAAAGACAAATAGCATGATTCCACTTCGATAGAAATGTAAGAAACCCATGAACAGACAGACTCTTAAATACAAAGAAACTGGTGGCTGCCAGGGAGAAGGTCATGGACGGGAGGGGATCAGCAAAATAGGTGAAGGCGATTAAGAGGTACAAACTTCCAGTTATAAGACATGGAAATGAAAAGTACAGCACAGGAGATACAGTCAACAATATTGTAGTAATGCATGGGCACGCGTGGTGACCACACTTAGCACGGTGAGCACTGAGTAAGGTATAGAATTGTCGAATCGCGATGCTGTACATATGTAATGTAGCATTATAGATCAGCCACATTTTAGTAATAAGAAAACAATGGGAAAAAAGTATCAGGGCAATAATGACGCCCAATGTGAGGTCAGTTTGCTGTTTTTACAGTTCTTATAAATTAATGAACTGATTTTCTCCACTTGATGCATTATTCTTTTTGTGGAAGTCAAATCTTTAAAGAGAAAATATATTAACAAAAGATAACCCCGGAACCAACAAAACTCCACAGAGCCTGCCCCTAGATCTCCAGCCTGTGGGGGACAGTCTAGGCACACAGCTGGCATCCTTCAGGCCACTTCCTTCTGAATCATTTCACCAAACTGTACCATTGAGTCCAGAAGTTACCAAAGAGCAGGTTTGAATAGGGAGAAAATGATACTGCAACAATTCCCACATACAGAGAGATATAAAATAGATCAAGAAAAGGGATTGGATAGTATCAGAAAAGGTGAAGTAATCCTGATCTTCATAAATTGAAAGCTGAAGGGTAAGCACTCAGGGCACTTAGTCATTTCTGATGACGACATCACTCTTTGCATCAGGGCGGATCCAGAGGGGAAGGATCGGTGTCCAGTTCACGTTTCAAATTAAGTTAGTGACGCAAGCACGAATATTTCTACTAGAAAAATCGCTCTGTGCACACTCAGGATTGATCGTTCGCATGATCAATTAGGCAATCTTCCTCCTCCCCCTCTTGCCTGGCTGCTTTCCACCAGGGTCAATGAGGATAACCAACTGCTGTTGAAGTGTCAAGAAAGTCAAAACTAACGTCTAAACGAGGCATGAAGATATGATAGATTTCAGTTATGTTACCATCCTGCTTTCCATACTGAATTATCGGGACTTACTGGCAATAATTGGATCCAATCCTGACATCAGGAGCAAACGTTAACCACTCTTATCAAATGGAAGTACTTAATCCTCTGTCACAGCACACTGTTTAGCTATAGAACTAGCAATAGTGTATAGGGTCAGAATGGGTGCAGTCGATTTGAGGACAGGTCCAGAGAAGCCACCAGATGGTCCTACGAAGAATACAGCAGGAGGAGCCGTCAGAAGAGCCTCTCAACATGGACTTCTGAAGAAATCCTTCCTGCTCCTTGTACGGATGCAATTTTTATACAACACACAGTCAGGAGGTGAGAAATAATTTATCTCAGGTGTGGCTTCTCTTTGTAAAAACAGTTAAGACGCACCATTCTTAGACAATTCTTTCTCAGTTTCTCATATTGTGATTTGTCATTAATGTTTTTTGGCACCGATGGAAGAAAGTTAATGAGCGAGAGAAAAAGTAAACGTTATACCTCTTTGTAGTTAATTCTCCCATCTTGAAGGTGGAGAAACTCCAGAGCTCTGTGTCCTGAAATATTAAATCAATTAAATTCAACTGTAACTGAAAACAGAACTTACTCGAGATATTTTAAAAGGAAGATGTAATTTTGTCATTGTAACTGTCAAGGAAGTGGGAAATGGAGATTAAGTGTGTATGCACTAGTAATTTTCATCAGGCATAATATTCTTATGATGTTTATTTTGTTAAACTACAGATCAAATCCGCACGGGGATTTGAACTTTCTACTTAGGTAGCACTATAGACCTGGCTAGGCTAGGTAGCAGTTCCCTCCTAAGTAAAATTAAGTAAATAATACCCACCTTACAGGTTTGTTGAGAGAGTCACACAAAATAAATGCTGTGTGATGAGCACAATGGCTGATACACACTAGGAGCTCAGTAAACAGAAGGTGTCATCACTGTATTTTGCCTCAACAACCCACTGAGATAAATAAGCCTAAGCAGGAAATATGATACATGGCCAAAAGCATGGAATGAATCAATGACTCTCAATTTTTTTTCCCATCAATTAGATGGACCAAAAAAAAAAAAAAAATCATCTCAGGTCACCTGCTCCACCCACATGCCCACACACCCACACCCTGAATCTTCTTAGAATCTAGAAGATGAACATGCCTTGAGAAGTCACTTCCAAGGGTGATACCTTATTTTTTATTGTGCATCACATCCAGTTTTATAATCCATACAAAAACACAGCCACTACCAGAAGCATTAATACTATACGATACAAGCTCACAGCCCACACAAACGACCTGTGTAGAAGATTCCAGTGATTTACAAATCCAAACCACTGAATGAGGCCAAATCTAATTAACTCGCCTGAATGTCAACCTTCCACGCAGGCTTTATAGAAAAAGTGAAAATAGGAACCAAGACATTTATAAAACCCTCTAATTAGTAAATGTCGGAGTTTTGTCTTTTACATAAAAATCTTCAAAATCTGGGGCACCTGCGTGGCTCAGTCCGTTGAGCGTCCAACTTCGGCTCAGGTCATGATCTCATGGTTCGTGGGTTTGTGGTTTGTGCTGACAGCTCAGAGCCTGGAGCCTGCTTGGGATTCTGCTTTCAGCCCACTTACAGTTTAAGCCAATTTCAGTTTCACAGACCTTACACTTGGAAAATACTTTTCAAATTCATTGGCAAGTTTGGCTTCCTTACTCTACAGGAGAGGAACAGAGAGGAAATGAACTGCTCTTGTGGCACGTACTTAGTTTACAGAGCTGGTATTAGAACCTCGGTCTAATTCTCTTTTCTGTTGTTTCCTGACTCTCGCTAGCAATAAAGGTTTTTGGGAAGAATGCTGGACTGGCTGTCAGGACAGCCAGTCCCGGGCCAGCCCACTAACGAGCTAGCTGGGAGATTCTTCTACATCCATGTCCTTGTACGTGAACCGCAGGGACTGGTCTCAGTGACCTCTAGTGCCCTTCCAGACAGTAAAATTCTGTGATCATAGGTTCTTGGGCGCTAGAACTCAATACCTAGGTCTATCCTGCACTGATAAGTTTTCACACTTTATTTGTAATGTTGTTCTGCTTTGGACCTTCTGGAAGTGGCCTAACTAGAAAATATTATTGTTTTTATCTAAAAGTAAACCCAGACATCAGGTATTACCTGAAATTAATCCGAAAATTGTTACAGAATATAATCCCATCTGCTTAGATTATAAAACGGCTGACTTTTTCTAGGAGTTAAAAAATGGTACAAATGCCCTTCGTACGAGAACTGAATGTACTGTGCACCAATATCCGATACTCTGCCTGTAGCCGGTCCTTCCCAGCTGCTGTCCTCATCCTGGGCACCTCTAATGCCAGTGGCCAAGCTCCCTCGCATCCTTCCCCTCCCTGCAGCCAAACCCTTGACTCGGGGGATACACTCTTGGGGCCACAAGTGGCCTTTCCGCACACTTGGAAATACAAAACAACAAAAATATCTTCCTCTCTCTTACAGAATTCCACGCATCTTTCTCCTCTCTGCGTTCGATCAGATGTTCTGCTTCTGGGCAGCCCCCAGCTCATCTGCCCACCCGGAGCAACAGCCAGGGACCGTATCCTCAAAGATGCATCGTTGCCAGGCTTCCTGCCCACCCCTGACTCAGGTCACAGCCCGAGCTCTCCACCCCCTGGCTGCTGGCTGCAGCCGGGGGAACTTGTTATCAATACACAGGACCGACCGTACATCTCTTCCTCAACACCTTTAGACGGATTTAGAGTCCTAATAGCACAGCAAGGTGCTGGCACTTACCTATCTCTATGTGCGTGGAGATGCCACATGGTGAACCTCTCGGACACAGGGAGCCCAGTGCGATCAGCAGCCCGGGCCAGAACCTGCACGCGGACATGCCCTCGTTCCTCACCACTCCGGTGACACGACGTGTCCGAAATCCAGGCCCAGGCTCCCTGCTTTCCCTCTAAGCGGGTCACCGACACGGGAAGCCCAGCGTCGTTTCAAAATAACAACACTGCCCAGCAAACTGTTTAACTACTGTTTAACTTCACCAGAACAGCAAACAAACTCCACCTAGGAGGGGGGAAAAAAAAAAAAGCCATCAACCCAAATCTGAATGTCCGGAGGTTGAAGCATTGCCACTTTCTGACCCAGGGGGGCCTCCGGATTTCTTTTTAACACGAAATTTGTATGGTGACGCTAGCAAAGTTTTTCTCCAAATATTCTTTGCTTTCTTAAAAAGAGAGAGAGAGAGAGAGACTCACCTGTCTATATTGACAGTCAACATCCCCCCACAAGGGCTGATCTCTCGGGCATCGTTTCCACACACGTATCAGGTGCCCTGCGTCCTTGGCCTCCCAAGCCACAAGTGCTGGGAAGGCTTTTATGACAATCAGCTGGCACCAGCTTCTCTTTCAGTGTTTGGCAACAGATACCAACACCTGCAAGGGGATTACACAAGAGCAACCACTCCTGGTCTCTCCACTTCTGGTTGCTCTTATGGGGCTTATCTCGAGCCTGTCGCACGGTCAGATTCCTGCACCCCAAGAAAAGATATCGATTCCACTGGGGGCGGGAGACGTGGGACCGATTTAAGACTGGGAAACAAGAATTCAGAAAATGCTAGGCTCAGAATCCACCTGTCACGAAGGATCTAATCTACAGCACTTAATCCATGGGAAAAATTACGTGACGCTCTCAAAGCTCAAATTGTGCATAAGATACGGGAAAAAGCAAGGAAGGAGATCCTAAAAGGGTGGGCAGAAACCATACTCATGCTCAGGCGAGCAAATAGAAGAGAAGATAGAATGTGGGATGATCTGAGATCCTTAGAGGCCTGCCAAGTTTCCCCTGTAACCTTAGCTCAGCCACCGGCCAGCCCCAGAGAAAGGAAGCCCACAGCTGTGGGCTCAGCCATGAGGGCACTGGGCTGGGCTGCTTCTCACTGCTTTTCGGCCAGAGACCTTTAATTGACATGGTTTGTCTGGCTAACAGGGTGCTTTACAAACCTAGGTCTAGGCTCCTCCTTACTCCAAGTGGGGGAGGGGATGGGCAAAGGGGAGAAGTAGAAGGTGGAGGTGCCCAGGACAAGGGCACGTGACAAAGAAATTTCCTGGGTACTGATGGTCTTGCCCTCGCGGGCCCTGGTGAGCGATCACACCCATCCAGGCTCTGGGGGACATCCTAGGCAGCCCAGGAGCAAGACAGGAACCGGGGGGGGGGGGGGGGGGGGAATGTGCTCCCACTCTGAACGGGGGATTGCACAGGGCACTAGACAGAGAAGGGGAGGCCAACAGCATGAATTTCCTCCGCCTGAGGCCTTTAGGGGCCCCTTCCTTCATAAGGATAGAAAAATTAGATTTTACACTGGCATTGGCCTAAGTATTAATACTTATTAATAGTTAGCTATTAATGGTTAATATTAATCATATTAAAAGTTCACTTTTTTCCTGATTTTTATAAGAAATAACAGTTTTGTGTGCCCCCAAAAGTATCATGGGTTCTAGGCAGTGTGCCTTTTGGAGAAGTGAGTGGACACTGTTGAAAACAGAACCTTACAAAGATAAGCAGACAGGGGCCCGTGGGTGGCTCGGTTGGTTAAGTGTCCGACTTCGGCTCAGGTCATCATCTCGCAGTTGGTGAGTTTGGGCCCTACATTGGGCTCTGTACTGACAGCTTGGAGCCTGGAGCCTGCTTCAGATTGTGTCTCCCTCTCTCTGCCCCTCCCCTGCTCACGCTGTGTCTCTCAAAAATAAATGTTAAAAAATTTTTTCTTAAAGATAAGAAGACAAACCGCAAGAGACTCTGTAAGAGAACTGAGGGTTGTTGGAGGGGAGCTGGGTGGGTGGGGATGGGCTAAATGGGTGATGGGCATTAAGCAGGGCACTTTTTGGGATGAGCACTGGGTGTCATATGTAAGAGATGAAACACTGGATTCTACTCCTGAAGCTAAGACTATACTGTATGTTGAGTTTAAATTAAAAGAATTTTTTAAAAAGATAACCAGACGGACTTGGGGTGGAGAGAGGCAGTCACCGTTGCCCCAACAAAACGCGTTGCCCCAAACGCAAGACAGCAAGCTGTCAGTAGGGCTCCCTCTGCAGGCGGCAGGTGGAAATACACCAAGTCCCCAGTCGCCCATGACACCCACCGGCCAGCACTCCCTTCCAGGGCCCCTCTCTCCCGTTCCTTCAGAATACAGAAGGAAATAGCGAACCCACACACACAAAAGATTAAACTCTGCCGTTCCCACTTCTGCTAGATGTGACGGACTCAAGACTGAGTGACGCCGACTCAGGAAAAACCAAAGTCAAAATCTAAATGCCTGGGCATTTTACAAGTAAGAACCCAACGTCCTAGAGAAAGGTGAAGGGCCCACAGGCTCCGGAGAGGCCACCAAGAGACTCCACTCGGTAGGTGGGGAGAAGCAGAGAGATGCCAAGACTAGGGGTCCTAAATCAATGCATAGAATGGGGCTTCCCTTGAACCCACAAATTCCGAAGATAGCCCTATTTCTTTTTGCATCCTCATGAATGCGGAGGCTCCCTTGCTGCTTCTGGAGTTGTATGCTCTTGTCTACTTGTGACTCTCCTTCGGTTGATTCGATTCTGACAAATGGTCCCACTGACGAGTCGGGGAGGCCTAACTTTAATCGTAGCAGTGGCTTGTCCAAGGGCAGCTAGCAGGACTTTGAACGTTGTGCCCGATTTATTGCAGCAACTCTAAGCAATTACGTTATCTCACAACGAAAGAACTTTCTACCAAAAAAACAAAACCAAAAAAACCTGAGGTTAAGTAATTTGTCTAAGGTCATACTGCCTGTGGACAACAGACTCGGCTTGGGGCCAAGACGGGCTTCAGAGGCACGGCTACAGATCACGGGGGGGGGGGGGGG